AAAAATTGCCACAAACTCATTTTTTTTGGGAAAGCTTTTTTTTTTTTTTTTTTTTTTAACCACCACACAATTTCTGCATCTCTGTAATCTGGGTGAACTAAACACAGAATTCAGAACAAACTTTACTTACAAAAAAGGTATGGACGTTATATTTCTTTTCCCTTTTTACATGAAAAGCATGTACAGATTATCCTTTACTTCACATCTCCTTTCCTTCTTTACCATCTGAAGGAAAGTTGTAGCTAGAGAAACACGAGGACAATCTAAAGGAAATTGTACCATCAGATTGTATGGTCAGTTTTAGATCAGCCAGAGAAATTTCAGAAGGGCTTACAGGCATGATCACCAATAAATGATCAGGTAGACTCATGTTTATGTTTGCAGATATCTTTAGGTAAAGTAATATTAAACACTTACACTTTTTTTTTTTCTATAATTAAATGCAACAACTGAATTCAAAATCCAAAGAAAACAAGAGTTATAGGAGGTCCAGAATTCAAATTGTCCGGGTATCCTGATTGGTTACCAAAAATGTATTCGGGTGCTCAGTTTTATAGTAAATACTTCAAATAATGTTACTTTTGGGATATAGCAAAAGGGTTGGGGGGCAGTTTTCCTACTGTATAACTGGAAAGTTTTGCGACTCGAGTCCTATAGAACTCATGGCCAAACCTCTTTCCAAGACAGCTCTGGGAACACATTTCCCATACATCAGTTCATCACCTGCGCCCACGATCATGTCGTTTATGGCCTGATATGCCCCTGTAACCTTCTATATATAGGCCGCACCATCCGCCCCTTACGTAAATGCCTAGGGGAGCACAGAAGATACATTGAAAAAAGGCAATACTGAACACAGTGTCCCACGCCACTTCCTTTGCAAACACCAGAAAAATATTAAATTCCTACAAGTGTTTGTCATCTAGCAGATCCCAGATCCCAGGAAACTTATTGGATTTAGAAGCTCAACACACTTTCTCCCCATGGCCTCAATGAGGAACTTGAAATCAGCACCATAATATGATATAGTACTCCTTACTTAACCCTCCATGATCATTCACCCCAAACAATTTATTTCAGCTCATAGCCCATTCTCTCATGACCAGTATTCAGTTCAGGTCAATACACACTATTCACACAGTCCCGCTTCTGAACATACCCCGTATCGCAAATGCGCCATAACCACGCCCCCCGCCCCTTCGTTTAAAATCTCCCGCCAGATCCCTCACCCTCACCCTGGCTTGACAAGGAAGACAGTCTTCGAACCGCGTTGCCACGACAACAGGAACTTTCGCCCCGCGTCTGGGACGCCCGGGCCACCATCCTCGGGCGGACCAGCACTTGCGGCGCCTGCACCACGACAAGAAAGCAAAACTTCCGCCGCACATCTCTCAGACATCACCACTTCCCAGAAGGAACACAATCAGCGTCTCCCCATCCACCAACGCACTGGACATCCTCACCCCTGGCACCAGCGGATAAGACCGCCACCTCTCCAGCCCCACGCCGCTGCCTACCAGCACGCTGACACGGTCAGCAAGCCGCAATACTTCAATCAGCACAGAAGAAACCGCAAGACGACCTCCAATCAACCCTGTCCTGCACAGATCCCGACGTCGATGACAGCACATCCATGAAAACCTAATGGTGAGTTACTACACGTTTTACACATGGTACCAACACCCATGTTTTAACTGTTATCTCTTTCTCCTTTACTCCTTTGACACCCAACTGAGGATTTTCTCACATACATCCTGTATACCTCAAGCCATTCTGGCCTCAACACCCCACAAACTTTGAATTCAATTGGTAGTAGCGCTTTAGACTTTTGTTTTTGCTCTGTTTCCTACTGAACACAGATGGTATCTAGAATCGCTTACAGACATCACTTATTTGACAGGAGTTATATAAATGTATGCTTACCATTCTATCTTACTGCTAAGTACATATTAACAATTGCAATGTAAAAACCGAGGCACAAACTAATATTTTACACCCCAAAAAAGGATGATACTTTGAGCAGCAAATCCCAGACTTTTTATTTGTGATTCATTGGTCCACCCACTACTACAGTAATAATGAACATAGAGCTGTACTTTAAACAATATATACACTTTCCTTTTTTAATTGCAATCTCTAATGCAACCTCTGTTGCAAATGCAGGACAAATGTGCAGGAATACAAATCTGCAAAATGATTATTAGACCTAGACATATAGGCCAGAGATATGTACATTAAACCACTGAGGTCTTTGACATTGTCTATGGCTAAGCTTGCAGTTGGGTGGGGAAGGAACCTTTTAGTGACTTTCTACAGTGGTTATTCTTCAATGCAGTTTCTGCGTCTCTGTGAAGACTCTGGATTCTAAGTCATTTAATTCTAAAGTCAAATGGACACCGAAATCTTATTAGTAGAGTGCTCAATTGCGCGAGTGAGGTTAATCCTGAGCTGGGCAGAATTCTAGGCCCTGTAAAACACTCTGGGCCTTGAATCCAATGGGCACCAAAGGTGAAAAAGATCGGAAACTTTAGAAAGGCACAGTCTGCATTTTGGCAGTATTATTCGTTTACACAAACGTTTAGAATCTGGTAGGTTTACTTCTGCAGCCTTAACAGTTTGCACATTGTTAGTCTGAAAACATATGCATCAATTTATTGGTAAGCCTTTTTACAAAGGCTATATTATTAAGAATGCATAGGGGAACCACATTACTTCCTAGTGTTCCAATGGATTTAAATAAATGCTAAAATGTGACTCCAGAAAAATAAAGATGAGTGTTTTGACACGTGAGGTAGGACATTAAACTGAGGGGAAGAACATTTTTTTTTTAAATACTGGCTTCTTGCATAAACCTGGTTCCTTCAGGCTATCATACCACTCCTTGCATTGAAATACATTGCTTTCAGTTTATTTCATTTTAAAAGCTTAATTTCACTCCTCAAAAATGTATTATTTTTCTGTTCCTGAAGTCAAATACCACAAAAAAACAAAAACAACAGGCATTCCCCCAAGTGTTTCAACTAAAAGGGTTATCATCTTTTTGATTTTTTTCAGCTATGGGAATAATCAAAATCCTGCTCCTTTTATCCATTGACACTTGAGTCTACAAAGTCTCTCCTGAGAGACCATCAAAAGGAGGCCTTATTCCTCCATTTTCTTTTTATGTTAAACCAGCTGGACCAACTCCAACTCCTCTGTGGTGATTTATGCAAAGAACTTCCTGAGGGGAGATCTGAAATCAGTGCATGCACCCATGACTGAAGCATTCATTATGAGGAGCTTACTCCTTTCCAAAACTAATGCTGCATAGTTATGTGTATTAAAGTGACACGAAACTCAGGGGTAAAGCTTAAAAATGAGGGCTGAGGAAATTAACGATTCATTTCTCGATTTATCGTTAAAATTTTGATCGATTAAAATTATTTTGATCTAAAATGAAAACGCACCTCTCCGCCGGCTACCAGGTCTTACAGGAGTCCCGGTGACGTCACGGACATAGACGTAACCGGACTCCTCCCCCCTTCCCCAAGTGGCTCCGTCGGCTAACGAAGGAAAGGGGTCCGGTGACGCTGATGTCTGTGACGTCACCGAACTCCTCCCCCCCTTCCCTTCGTTAGGTTTTGAACGTATAGTAATCTATGACAGGAATGGGAACTAAGGCTGTTTATCTCAACCTCATTGATTTAAAGAAAAAAGCCAACATAGTGTCACAACTACCGGGTAATATAATTGCTACAGTTCTGTTTTGTTCAATAACTTTGTACTTATTATGCACTTTTTATCGCACTGGTGAGATATTGTGATCTAGGTGCTTATAATTCTGTGTCAAGGCAAAACGGAATGGAAATTAGTCTTTAGTGTATACAACAGCATTGTTCCTATTGAAAGTTGGTTTGTATTAAAAAAAAATATTTTCCTGCAACTGCACTTCTTATTTATAAATGGCTTCTTCAGCACATTTACCCTTCACCTAAAAAATTCTCTGCACAAAAGTTATTAAAATGTCTTTCATGCAGAAAGGTTAGGTCCTTCATTATGAGGTTTGGGCCGGTGTTCTATTGATAGTCCCAACTCCCAAAGTTCTTCTGCACGAGCGCCAGCCGCGGCATTGCCCTATACACATAGACCACAGCAATAAAGTAATAAAATTAACTAGGATCATAGTAATCCAGCACGTTATTTATCTCAGGTGCCCCACTCAATATGGCCGCCGCTTGAGTGGGACAACTCAGATTAGTGTGATCCTAGTTGATTTTATTACTTCATTGCTGTGCTGTATGTGTATAGACCAATGTAGTTGGATCTGTATGTGCGTTATAATTAATTGAAATTAATCGATTAAAATTTTCGTGTTCGATTAATCTAAATTTTTTTAAATCAGTAACAGCCCTATTAAAAATGCATTAGTACCTTATCAAAAATAGTACCTATTAACAAAAATGTATCTTATTTGTGTATCATTCGCCTGTAGATCCTCATATAATTTCTGAATTCATGCTGACACTGTCCTTCCTTCTGGAGGGTGGCTACTTTTGTTCCCCATGGTCCCTGTGTGTGTTGTAAAGTAGCCACCTACTTTACAACACACAACACTAACACTGTGATAGATTATATATTAGACACAAAGTAATCCAGACACCCTCCAAAAAGTTAGTGGACTTTTTAAAACTTTTTAAAGGAAAGCAAATCACAGGAGG